GAGAGAGAGAGAGTGTGAGCAGGGGAGGGGCAGAAAGAGAGGGAGACATAGAATCCGAAGCAGGCCCCAGGCTCTGAGCTGTCATCGCAGAGCCCAATGCGGGGCTCGAACTCACAAACTGTGAGATCATGACCTGAGCCGAAGTCAGACTAACAGACTGAGCCACCCAGGTGCCCCGATTGACTTTATTATTTTTTTTTTTAATTTTTTTTTCAACGTTTTTTATTTATTTTTGGGACAGAGAGAGACAGAGCATGAACGGGGGAGGGGCAGAGAGAGAGGGAGACACAGAATCCGAAACAGGCTCCAGGCTCCGAGCCATCAGCCCAGAGCCTGACACGGGGCTCGAACTCACGGACCGCGAGATCGTGACCTGGCTGAAGTCGGACGCTCAACCGACTGCGCCACCCAGGCGCCCCTCGATTGACTTTAAATAAAAAAAAATAACAACAGTAGAGTAGGAGACTTACAGAATATGTAGCAGAAAATGCATACAAATAACATAAGAGCCAGTGGGGGAAATGACAGTGCATTATTTTAAGATTTTTATACTTCATATGAAGTGGCATCGTATCATTTGACAGTAACCTATAATAAGTTGCCGATGGGGACACATAAAAAGCAAATAGCAAGATGGTCAATTTGAACCCAGTTCTCCGACATTCTGCCAGTCGTGTGTGATTATTGCACAGCTCCGTGCCCCAGACAGCAGCGTGCTGTCCGCACGTCAGCACACCCTCAGCACCACTCACTGGTCTTGCTCACGGCAGAGAGCCGTGTCTGTGTGTTGGTCACGTCCAGAGGCTCCTTCTCGCGGCCCAGCCCTCCTGCTGGGTCTCCCCAGCCCTCCTGCTCTGACCCCTTGCTGCACTCCCGCACCCCGCCATCCGGGTCGGGGAAGAGTCTCAGCCTGTTAGTCTGCAGGTGTCTAAGTCCAAGACACGAAGGTCTTCCTGTGTATTTAGCTGCCACTCGTGGACCCAGAGGGGTTGCTTTCTTTTCTGCGCAAAGCTTGTGGCTGGCAGTACCAGGAATGTGCTGTCTCGATCCTGTCTCCTTGACCGCGTATTTCTCAGCTGCCCCACGTCTCTGGGAAGGCCTCGTAGGGACAGCTACGGGTTTTTTTTGTGGTAAGAGAACGCAGAGCCTGCTTGCGTTGCGTAGGTGCTGAACATACATCTGTTGAAGGGATTTCGTCATCCCTGAGCCTGTGGGGAGGCTGGTGGCTAAGCGAGTCGCTCGCTGGTCAGAGGCTCAGCTGGGCTTGGGTCTAGGACCTTCTGAGCCCCACTGTGGTGCCACATTCATGCTGGACACGGTCCCTGGCAGTGGTCCGGCTCTGCTCTGCGGTGCCGCTGCTGAGAGGGGGATGGGTACAGCTTTCTGCAGGAATAGCTGGTTCTTGGGGGTGATGGCCCCTCTTTGTGCTGCGGGCCTGGAAGGACCCGTCAGCTGCCTACCCTCCTCCCCGACGGAGGTTTCTGGATCCCTCCAGCCTCCTGGGTCAGACAGCTCCACCCCATCCTTACCTGTCCCACCTTTCCTGGCCCCCTCTTGGACTTAGTAGCTGCCTGGGGGGGGGGGGGGCAGCGGTCACTGCTGTTAGTTCCTGCTCTTGGCTGCTGGGTAGCAATGCCCAGGCAGGAGAGTCTCTTCTCTGCTGTTTCCTAAGAACGCAGGGGCTTTCTCCAATCTCCTGACTCCACTCTCCTGATCACCGCCTTCCCCTTGGTGATAAGGGGCAGCTGGGGACACAGCACAAGACCTTCTCCTGTGTGAAGAGCTGCTAGTCTGTGGCTCACGAATTTTCTGCTGACAACCAGACAAGAGACCTAAGGTGAATGCGCTCCAGAATCCCAACGCATTGGCAATTTTCTCTCCTTAGCTCGGAACACCCCTTGTGCTCCCCCCTTGCCACCAGGGGCCCCCTCAATCCATACCATAAAATGTACAGTGTCAGTTTGTTCGACTAAGGATCCTGCTGAGTATTTAATCCTTATTTAACGCTGATGTTTATTTTATTGTAGAGTTTAAATTAATCAGCCTCAGGATACAAAATTAGATAAGGCAGGGATTTAGGTCCCCTGGAATGATTCATTGCACATCAAGCTTTCTTAACTCTTTGGCTGCAGGGGGGAAGTGTCTGTATATTTCCTGGAAGAGCTGCCCCGGGGCTGGCCAAGTGAGCTGCTGTGCTCCCTCCTCACCAGCCTCCCAGCCGGGCATGGTGCGCTCTGATGCAGGGGTTGAAAATACATCTTAACAGTAAGAAATCCCCACAAAAGGGAAGAGAGATAACATGAACGTAGGAAAAAGTCCAAAGAACCTACCTGTAATTCTACCACCTGAAGATCACCGTTGTTACCATCCGGGCACATTTCCTTTCATTCTTTATCAGCCCTTTGGAACGATTACGCGGTGTTAAGAATGTGCAAACCCGTGTAGAGAACAATGATATCAAACTTTCCCGTACCTGCCGGTGAAGCTTAATGCATGCCAGCTTTATGACACGTTTGCTGCAGAGTGCATTTTAAGGACATGATACAATGTAGCTTTTATTGATACTTGACTTACGTGCCCCTTATGTATTCTACCTGCCTCTTTCCTCCTCGCTGTTCTGAAGTCAGTGTCTCCCCTTTTCACGCGTGTTTTTTACACCGAGTACGCATATGCCCATGAAGGGCGGACAGTCTTTTGTTTGGTTTTGAATTAAAAAAAACTTTTTTTTTTTAGGTTTATTTATTATTGAGAGACAGAGAGACACAGAGCGCAAGCAGGGGAGGGTTAGAGAGAGGGGGGAGACACAGAATCCGAAGCAGGCTCCAGGCTCCGAGCTGTCAGCACAGAGCCCGACGCGGGGCTCGAACCCACAAACCGTGAGATCGTGACCTGAGCCGAAGTCGGTCGCCCAACCAACTGAGCCACCCAGGCGCCTCTGTTTGGTTTTGAATTTTTACACAGTGGTCCATACGTATTCTTCTGCGTATGCTTTTCCCCTTCACCCTGATTTTTCAGAGGAGTCTAGAGTTCTGCGTCTCTGACAAGCAGGTGGTGCTCCCCTCCCCCAGATGCTGCTGACGTCCTGGTCCCCTGGTGAGGTGGGGTCTTGGGACCTGTCCGTCTTTATTTGTGCCGGTGAGATGCAGCCGACCAATGTCCGAGGCTGGGGTGCCCCCTACACTCCCACCTGCAGCTTGCAAACTCACTCATGTTCCATCAACATTTGTTGTGTACCTCATATTTTGCCCATGGGGTGGGTGTGAGATGATATTTCCTTGCTGTTTTAGGTTGTGGTTCCCTCATCACTATGCAGTGGCATACCCTGCGTTACATTTGTTAGCCTTTTGGGTTTCTTCCTCCATGAATGGTTTCTTTGTCTCTGGCTCATTTTTCTACTGGGTTTTCGGTTTCCCCTTGCTGACCCGTATGATTTTTTTTTTTTTTTTTTTGTCATCTGGAAATCAGTGCTTTTGTGGCCAAATACATTTTAAGTATGTCTTCCCTATTTGTGCACTAGGATTGTCTTTTAACTTTATTCATGGTCTCCTTTGTCAGATCAAAATTCTACTTTTAAGAGCTGTCAGTATTTTTCTTTCTTTCTTTCTTTCTTTTTTTAAAAATTTTAAATGTTGATTTATTTTTGAGAGAGAGACAGAGCACAAGCAGGGGAGGGGCAGAGAGAGAGGGAGACACAGAATCAGAAGCAGGCTCCAGGCTCCGAGCTGTAAGCACAGAGCCCAACATGGGGCTCAAACCCACGGACTGTGAGATCATGACCTGAGCCAAAGCCTGACGCCCAACCGACTGAGCTACCCAGGTGCCCCAATGTTTATTTATTTTTGGGAGAGAGGCAGAGACAGAGTGCAAGCAGGGGAGGGGCAGAGAGAGAGGGAGACACAGAATCAGAAGCAGGCTCCAGGCTCTGAGCTGACAGCACAGAACCCAATGTGGGGCTCAAACTCACAAACTGGGAGATCATGACCTGAACTGAAGTTGGACGCTTAACTGACTGAGCCATCCAGGAGCCCCTGTCAATATTTTTCTTTATGGTGTTTGTTTTTTGTGTTTAATTGAAAAAAAACCAAACAAACCTGTGTCTGTCTACTCTGCTGTTATAAAAACACTGTCCTGCATTTTCTTCTAAAAACTGAAGATTTGTTTTTCACCTTTTATTTGTAATGCTTTAGTCACGTGTTCTGTAGGAAGTGAGGTAGGGATCTGTCTTCATTAGCTCCTGTGCATAACAATGAGCGCAATTCTCAGGATCCCTGCAGAAATGGGCTGGAGAGTCTGGGCTGGCCAGGCAGTTTGGCTCAGGATACAGCAGGTGTCCTGGTGTCCCTCCTGGGGACAGGGGCCAGCCGGGGCACCTCCTTCTCATGACAATGGCAGCAGCACAGAAGGCAAAGGGGGCACGGAGGTCGCTGGAGACCCAGGCTCGGAACTGGCACCTGTCACTACCACCACGTTCCGTTGACCAAAGCAAGTCACGTGGCCCCAGCAGAAGCCAGGGTGCGGGAAGTTCAAGTGTGGTCCTCATTTCTGCTGGTTGTCACCGTGCACATACCGGAAGGTGCGTTAGCAGAAGGGAGGCACTAAATGGATAGTGGACTCGAGGGAATGAAGACGGCGTGGGGGGAGCGAGAAGGGACGGACTGTGTTTGGCGTGAACGAACTGTCTTCGTGTCGGTCCCTTCCAGTCATCCTCCCTTAGGACGTGATTCGTCTCCACTCTCTTAACCGGGCATTCCGGGCGACAGCAGAAAGGTGTGCGTCCCTTCTGGTGGAAGGTTTCAGAGGCAGCCTGTGGCCGAGCCCGCTTTCCTTTCTCAGCCTCTGGAACTGTGCAAGCAGCTTTGGTAGAAGTGTCCCTCTGTCTGAGTCCCTGGGTGACTATGATGAGCCCCCCCAACCCCGCCTCTCCCTGTGGTCCTGAGACAGCCATGAAACCCGAGCGGAGCTAGCTGTTGGTTAAGTGCTGAGAATTTTTTACGTTCCAGCAGCATGAGTGGCCCGTCCTGACTGACGTGTGGCCCCACCGAATCCCCCACACAGCCCGTGAGACAAGTGGGTGTTTCCCTTACTTCACAGATGAAGGAAATGAACCTCACGAGGTAAGCCATGAATCCTTGCTCTCACGGCGAGGGATGGCATTGGGATTGGAACCCAGTTCTGTCTAAGTTCAAAAAAGGGGATTAAAATCATTGGGGGGAGGGGGCGGGGGGAGCGCCTGGGTGGCTCAGTTGGCCGAGCGTCTGATTCTTAGTTTTGGCTCAGGTTGTGGTCTCATGGCTTCGTGGGTTTGAGCCCCAAGTCGGGCTCTGTGCTGACAGCATGGAGCCTGCTTGGGATTCTCTCTCTCCCCCTCTCTCTGCCCTCCCCCACTCAGACAGAGTCTCTGTCTCTCTCAAAATGAATAAATAAACTTAAAAAATTAAAATAAAATAAAATGTAAATCATTGACGTGTGGCTCTTTGGACGGTGCCGGGGATGTTTCTGGTTCAGAGATAGGAGGATTATAAATCCACACGTCAAGTTTTTCCTTTTGTAAAAACAACCAGAAGTTTCACCTGCAACGATGCCCAAGAAGGTCCTTAAAAAGTGAAAAGGGCCAGGTGGATTGGACTTCATTTATCATTCCTGACCCCTGGGACATGCCTCCTGTTCTTTTTTTGAGCAGCCAGCCTGGGGCCAGACCTCAACCAGCTGCTGCCTCAGGGGGCAGCCCCACAGAGCACAGGAGGCCGGGGAATCACCTCAGGGGTGTCCCCACAGAACCCAGGAGCCTGGGTCACCTCGGGGGTGGCCCCACAGAGCACAGGAGCTTGGGGGTCCACCTTGGGGGCGGCCCTACAGAGCACAGGAGCCCGGGGTTCTGCTCCTGCCAACACACCCGCTTAGCAGGTCCTCACCGAGTGCTGTGTGTGCAGAACGTCACGCTGAGCCTCCGAGATGAATAAGCCTCCATGTTTGCCTTCGGTTCGCTGGGAGGAAGATGGTCCCCCTCCTCCGGGCCAGCTTCCTTCCACAGCCCCCGAGCAGGTGCTTCTCCTGTGCATTTTCCTAGAGCCCCACGCGGCTCTCTGTGCTGTTTGTGCTGCCTCTTCCCTCTGCTCAGATGGCGCGCTCCCTCCCTGCGGGCACAGAGCGGAGAGTCCACCTCCGGTCCCCCGTCTCACCGGTCCTGCGCATAGTAGGTACCCAGCAGACACCTGGGGCGGGGGAGAAGGAAGCACACGATGTACCCCTGTCTGCTCTGCTGCCCCCCTGTGCACACAGGTGCACGCGTGCGCACACAGGGCAAACGGGTGTGCACACCTGTGGACACAAACACGTGACGTGTGAGCACGTGTATCTGTGTTGCACACGCACACACAGGTGCACAGCCCTGCTGATGGCTGACGGCTGGGGGGAGGGGACCTGGTCCTTGGGGCCGTTTTTCCCTCTGGGTGACGGTGCTTCGACTTCCTGACTGTCCACACCAGCGGCCAATAAGAAGAACCCTCTCTGCTCAATTGCAGGCTCTTCTGGACCTTTCATTCATATTTTATAAGCAGGTGTTTATTTTCCTGGGCAGTCTCGATTCTGCCATCAAATGCCTGGTTCTGAGGCCAGGGGCGCTCTGAGATCGCCGATTTGGCTGACCACTTTACGAGGCTTGTGCGTTCTGGCTGAATCCTGCTGGCTCTGATGAGCCCTGAGGGCTGAGGCCCAGCACCCGCCGTTCATGCTCTGTCCCGAAGACGTGGTCCTCTGAGCCACCAGCTGCTTGTCGTGGACACCGTGACACCCGCTTTCCACGAGCCACACACCCTGCCCAGGGCCGGGCCCCTCAGCCCCTCACCCCAGCGCACCCGTCTCTGTGCACCAGGGCAGGACCCCGGCAAGGGGTGCTCGGGGGGTTGGGGAAGAAGCACGAGTGGTCTTGGCATGATGCTGTGGGAGGAGAAGTGGTGGCCGGGTGCCCCCGTCGTTAGCTGGGGTCAGGTCGCCTACTGAGGCATTTGGAAAAATGGGTAATGAACAGTCCCGCAGCCCGGGAGCCTGAGTGTCTGTGCTCCAGTCCGGGGAGAACCCTGGGGTCCCGGCAACTGTGCCTTGTCAGAGGCCACTGGGGAGGCAGCCTGACACCCCCACAGGGCTCCGCGGCTGTGCGGTGGAGGGGGGGACGGCTCCTCACACGTGATTAGAAGCATCCAGGAGACGTTTTATAATCGAAATACTCAGGGCCTTGGGAAGTCCGGCCCCGCGAATGCAAGGTCAAAGGCATCCTCAAAGCAGCGCTTAGGCACGGGGCCCTGGCAAGGCTGTGGAACGCAGCTTCCGGGAAAAGGGGCTCGTGGCATGCGGGACTGTGGTGGGGAAGACGCCGGCTTTGGACACAGGCAGCACTGGGCCCTCGTCTTGGCTTCTGGAACGATTTGCTCCGGGCCGTTTTGTCACTGAGCCCTGGCCTCAGTCCTCTGCTCCTGGACGTGGGCCGGACCACCTGCTCTGCCGGGCCGTCCCGGAAGCACCTGGCACTCGAGGGGTCCAGGTGAGAACAGAGCTTTGGAGTCAGGCAGTGTGGACCTGGCCTGAGAGCAAGCTGTCTACGCGTCTGTGAGGGGAGTGAGTATTCCTCCTTCCTTCCAGGGCCGGCCAGGATTTTCCTCCTCGGTCATCCCCCTGACTGATGTTTGCCACAAGCCAGGGCCCCAGGAGGGGTGCGGGGTGGGAGGCTGGGGGCTGGAGCCAGGGCCTTGGCTCTTGTGTCCGGCTGGAAGGCAGCAGTGGTGTTAAGGCTTCTCGTGGGTCCCCGGAGCGGGCCCCAGGCAGCTCATGATCACTAATTTCCCTAGTAATTATGGTCACAGCAATCATCATGAAGGTTCATTTGCGCTTAATGTGAATGTGCACCACGTGTCATTTGCAGGGGTCGAGAGAGTGGTTAGGGCCCAGGGGGAGGAGGTGGCTCCTGGCAGGGACAGGTTGTCTTACTGAGTCTGTGGTTGGGGTGGGGGTGTCGACCGAATTTCCCCGGAGGTAAGAGGGCAGGCGTATGGGGGGGGGGGAGAGAGAGAGAGAGCTCACATAGCCAATACTGGGATGCATGGGAAATTCTCAGGCAAAGACTCACTTCCCCCCAGCACCACGAGGCCCCAGATGCTGTTGCAGATGTGGCCGGAAGCAGGAGAGGGAGTTGGCTCTGGGGTTCACCACACGCCTGGCAGGAGCCCAGAACATTCACCGAGGTGTGCGCAGCTCGATGTGTGTGTTCGGGTGTGAGACGGCTGTGCAGCCCATGCAGATCTGAGCAGTGGGTCCTGGGGGTCAGCATGGGGTCAGGACGAGGAGGATGTACGTCTGGCCTCGTGCTTTTGTCACTCACTAAACCTGCGTGACATTTTATCTATTATCTCTCTCTCTCTCTCTCATCTATGTATCTATCATCTGTCTGTCTATCTATCTGTCATCACCTATCTATTGTTTATTTTGAGAGAGAGCATGTACACTCCTGCGGGAGAGAGGGGCAGAGAGAGGAAGAGGGAGAATCCCAAGCAGGCAAACTGTTAGCACACAACCTGACATGGGTTTCAAACCCACAAACCCAGCGATCATGACCTGAGCCAAAACCAAGAGTCGGTCGCTAAGCCGACTGAGCCACCCAGGTGCCCCCCGAGAACATTTTAGAGGTGAGGGTCTGGAGGCTCAGGGAAGTGGGATGTGCCTCCAAAGCCACACCACACTAAGTTCAGGAGGTGACATTGGAACCATGTCTGTCTGGGATTGTCATGCCAGACTGCTGGCCTCCCCCGAGGACGGATCTGGCACATGATAGGAGGCAGCTTGTGGATAGCAGATCTGACCACCGTGTCTGGCTCTGGACCCTGTGGGCTGGCTGCCCGGAGGCCTTGCAGGGGTGGGGCCAGCAGAGCAGGGGCCAAAGCAGTCAGGGCCACTGGTGGGGTGGGCCCTGGGCCGCGGGACTGGCTGTTGGGTGAATTTGAGGCCGAGCCCGGAGTTGCTACCCTGGATTGAACTATGTCCTCCCTCACCCCTCAACCCACACATTTCAATTCTTCACCCCCAGAGCTCAGAATGTGACCTTCTTTGGAAATAGGGTGGTTGGAGGCAATAGTTAAGATGAGGTCATGCTGGAGGAAGGTGGCCCATCTCCCACAGGACTGGTGTCCTTATAGAGGGGAAATTCGGACACAGAGACAAGCACAGAGGAGAACTCCACGTGGATCCTGAGTGAGGCTTGTACAGCCAGGGACTCCATGGATGGCCAGCAAACCCCCAACAGCCGGGGCCAGGCCCGGAACAGACTCTCCCTGAGAACCTCCGGAAGGAACCGGACTTACTGATGCCTTGATCTTGGACTTGTGGCTTCCAGAACGGTGAGGCGGTAAACTTCTGGTGTTTAAATCACTCAGTCCGTGGTTCTTTGTTCCGACAGCCCCAGTAACTAAGGTCCAGCTGGGGGTGGGCTCTGCCCGAGGGCGGGAGAGGCCAGGCAATGCCGTCCACGTCTGAGCGGAAGCTTTCAGGGCCGCTTCAGCCGTTCCGTCCCCGGCCTGCGTCCTTCTGCCATGAGGTGATGCTCCCTCAGCCTGGTTCCTGGGGGAAGGAGCCTCGGCCAACGTGTGACACAACAGGGAGTGCACCCCGATGCAGCTGTGAAGTTCGGCAGCCGCGACGGCTGCCTGGTCTGGCAGGTGGTGACCAACGGAAGGCCAAGGCCCCTGCTTGCGAGGTTGGGGGTCAGGGTGCCGGGAGATCTCTGGATTCGGTCCCCCTGGGTCCTCCTGTCCTTGCTATGGGTGGACTTAGGCCTCCTGGAGGGCGGGCCCGGGCTGGGCCACAGGGCACATTCGGTGAAGACTTACCGGAAGGCGAGAGGAAGGCTCTTGCAGCAGATGAGGCTGTTCCTGTCCCAGGCAGTTGTCGCCCAGGGGCCAAGACTGTTTTGTAACAGCAGCGTGATTTATTCATGTGCTAATCCATGCTGTCTCCTCAGGGCTCTGTGTTCCTACCTGCAGGCCTCTGGGTTTTCCGTTGGCTTCAAGAGTCTGCTAAATCCTTAAACAGAACCGCAGGAGGGCCCCCTGCGTGGCACAGCTGGTTGAGCGTGCGAGGCTGATTTCTGCTGGGTTCATGGGATCAAACCCTGCATCTGGCTCTGCTCTGACAGCTCGGAACCTGCTTGGGATTCTCTCTCTCTCTCCCTCTCTCTCTCTGACCCTTCCTTGCTCTCTCTCTTTCTCTCAAAGTAAATAAATACACATTAAAAAAGAAAACACAGGAAGCCAGTGGGCTCCCCACCCGCCTGTGGGGATGT